AGTTTAAATTTCAAATAGTTTTCCCATTCAATTGACACTTGACAACAATGCAAGTGTCAAACAATGTGTCATAATTTAGTGTACAAATAGAAAAGTTCAATCGGTAAGAACCTTGCTTCATGTACACTTAAGTTTACACTTTGCCACGTGACATATCCCTATTGGATAGTTTAAATTTCAAACAGTTTTTCCATCCAATTGACACTTCACAACAATGCATGTGTCAAAAACCAGTGTACTAATAGAAAAGTTCAATAGGTAAGAATTTTGCTTCATGTACACTATGATGTACACTTTAGTTTACATTTTGCCATGTAACATATCCCTGTTGGATAGTTTAAATTTCAAATAGTTTTTCCATCCAGTTGACACTTGACAACAATTCAAGTGTTAAACAACTTGTCAAAAACCAGTGTACTAATGGCACAGGTCAATTGGTAAGAATCTTGAGGCATGTACACTTTAGTTATCACTTTGTAACGTGACATTGCCTTGTTGGACAGTTTAAATTACGTGACAACAATGCAAGGGTCAAACAACAGGTCAAAAATTAGTGTACAAATAGTGAAGTTTTATTGGTAACGACCATGCTACATGTACAATATGGTGCACACTTTAGTTTACACTTCACCACGTGACATTACCCTGATGGACAATTTAAGTTTTAAACAGTTTTTCCATCCAATGACACTTGACAACATTGCAAGTGTCAAACAACGTGTCAAAAATCAGTGTACAAATAGCAAAGTTCAATCGGTAAGACCCTTGCTACAAGTACATTATGGTGTTCACTATAGTTTACACTTTTCCATGTGGCATTATCCCGTTGGATAGTTTAAATTTCAAACAGTTTTCCCATCCAATTGACACTTGACGAAAATGCAAGTGTCAAACAACGCGTCAAAAATCACTGTACAAATAGCAAAGTTCAATCGGTAAGAAATGCCAGTGTCAAACAACGTGTCAAAAATCTATTCACAAATAGCAAAGTTCAATCGATAAGAACCTTGCTTCAAGTACACAATGGTGAACACTATGGTTTAAACTTTGCCACGTGATACTACCCTGTAGGACAGTTTAAATTCCAAACAGTTTTTCCATCCAATTGACACTTGACAACAATGCAAGTGTCAAAAAACGTGTCAAAATTCAATGTACAAATAGCAAAATTCAATCGGTAAGAACCTTGCTACATGTACACAATGGTGTACACTTTAGTGTACGCTTTGCCACTTGACATTACCCTGTTGGACAGTTTAAATTTCAAGCTATTTTCCCACCCAATTGAGACTTGACAACAACACAAGGGTCAAACAACGTGTCAAAAATCAGTGTAGAAATAGCAAAATTCAATCGTTAAGAACCTTGATGCATGTACACAATAGTGTACACTTTAGTTTACACTTTGCCATTTGACATTACCCTATTGGTCGATTTAATTTCAAATAGTTTTTCCACTCAATTGACACTTGACAACAATGCAAGTGTCAGACAACGTATCAAAAATCAGTGTACAAATAGCAAAGTTCAATCGGTAAGACCTCGCGACATGTACACTATGGTGTACACTTTAGTTTACAATTTTTCAAGTGATATATCCCTCTTGGACAGTTTAAATTTCATACAATTTTCCCATCCAATTGACACTTGACAACAATGCAAGTGTCAAACAACTTGTCAAAAATCAGTGTACAATAGCAAAGTTCAATCGGTAAGAACCTCACGACATGCACACAATGGTGTACATTTCAGTTTACACATCGTCACGTGACATTACCCAATTAGACGGTTTATACTTCAAATAGTTTTGTCATCTAATTGACACATGACAACAACACAAGTGTTAGACAATGTGTTAAAAATCAGTGTACAAATATCAAAGTTCAATCGGTAAGAACCTTGCTTCATGTACACTATACTGTATACTTTAGTTTACAATTTACCACGTGACATATTTGATAAGTATGTTTTTACACACTTATTTGGTTCACAAACATGACTTAAACATGGATAAAATAGTTGAATTGTGGCTTAATCCTATTAAATTCATGCAATGTAGGTATTTCAATGGGAATTGTGGAATTTAGGAGAAAAGAGCCTAAGAAGGACCAAAACGCAACAAAGTGATAGTTCGAGGACCAAAGGTGCAAATATTGAGAAGTTGAGCTAAATACAAAATGAGAGTAAAAACATGCCAAGTATGAGCTCAATGACAAAGCAAAACAATTGGAAGAAGAAAGTATTGAAGAGGGACTGAAATGAAGATAATTGAAAGTTGGAGGACTAAAGCGCAAATACTCGAAAGGTGTGCCGAATGAGTGGCATGAGATTTAATGGTGTCAATCATCAATTGAAAGATAAAATTTGTTGAAAAGATGAAGAAATCGAAGAAAGAAGTCAAGAGAAGCAACAAGGAAGTTCAGGGACCAAAATGTAAAAACCACATAGTTGGTTATATCTATGCGACCGCATAGTGTAACGATCTATGCGGTCACATAGATGGATGCAGGGAAAATAATGGGGCATTTCAAATGACCTATGCGACCGCATAGGATCCTTCTATGCGGTCGCATAGAAGTAAATGTCGGGACGTTTCTGCAGTTTCCTTTTTCGACTCCAACTCTTTTTTTACCGAATTTGGACACACTATATATATCCTAAAACACGTCCAGAACTAGGGTACATGGTTTTGGGAGCAAAGAGGCACACAATAACATCAAGATCCAAGAATTTATGCAAGAAGAAGGAGGATTTCATCAAGATTGAAGATTTCAAGCATCATTTATAATAGGGTGATGTCTTCTCCTTTATTCAATTTTTGTAATTTTCTTCAAAACATGATAGGCTAATTTTTTTATTTCATTGGGAGTCGATGAACCTTTGATTTTCTTATAAATTCTTATATTTCATGAGTTTTATATAAATTGTCTTTGGAATAAATTGTTTGATTTATATTGTTTTGATTGAATCCATGATTTATTGGCCATTTATTATGTGATTGTGATGGTTTATTCTTTACATTTGAAAGAAGTAGAATAGGCTTGATATATATAAATTGACATAAGGTCCGATAGGGGATAGAAATATACCCCTATGCTTTATGCAATTCGATAATTGTTCATAGAATTTCATGCGTTTTTGTATGTTACATCATCCATAGAAATATAGGCTGATGATATGCAGAAATAGATCTAATATATATCGAGAGAGTATATTAGAAAGGCGTAGGAACATTGAATTGTCAATTTTCCATTGATTAATTGGATTTGTGAAATTAGGATTTATAGAAATCAAATGGGGATTCAATATCCCAATGATTTTATTTCAACTTATTTCTACAATTTCATTTACAACACTACATATTTATATTTTAATTGAGTTGTTGAGTCATTTAATTAGGGGAATTTTGAAATTAGGGTTTCCAATTTCGAAATTAGGGTTTTCTTCAAAATTAGGGCTTTTCACATTTCAACCAAATTTTCATTCAATTAGATTCGGTTAAGGTCACATTAGTCTAATTAGAGCTAATTCAATCCTCGTGGGAACGATACTTGGACTCATAGTCCATTTTACTACTTGTTAACGAATCGTACACTTGCGGTGGGTTTTAAAATCGAAACAAATAAATACGCGAACAAGTTTTTGGCGCCGTTGCCGGGGATTGAATTTTAGATTTAATTCTATCTTTTGTGACACTAATTCGAACTTATTTAGTTTAGTACTTGTTAATTTTATTAGATTTATTTTATTATTGTTTATATTGAATTTTCGTGTTAATTCTGCCATATCAGGGCTTGTATGCAAGGAGCACCTGATCAAGACTTGGTCCCTATAGATCCAGAGATCGAACACACATTTCGCCAAAGGCAAAGGGAAGCAAGAGTGGTACAACAAATGGCTAACGAGCAAAATCGATCAGGAATTCCACTCAACGAAGGTGTGGCAGTGGAAGAGGATGGAAATACGGTACTTGGGGATTTCATGGCACCATTGGTGGTACTAAGTCAATCTAGTATTGTATATCCTCCATTTGGGCAACCGAACTTCCAACTGAAGACAAACGTGATTCAACTGTTTCAGAATGGGCATCAATATCATGGGATGGCTAGTGAGAATCCGCATACACACATATCTCGATTTCTTAATATGTGTCAACACTTCAGATACCAAGGTATCTCTGATGATGCTATAAGACTGTGCTTGTTCCCGCACACCTTGAGGGATAAAGCACTTGAATGGCCTGATTCACTCCCTGTCGGAAGCATCACTACTTGGAACGAGCTAGCTCATAAATTCTGCACCAAGTTCTTCTCGCCAGCTAAAGTAGCTAAAATGCGGCATGACATCTCAATATTCAACCAGATCGAGTTAGAATCATTTGAAGAGGCATGGAACCATTTCAAGAACATGTTAAGGAAGTGCCCGCAACATGGCTTTGACAAGAAGACCCTGATCAGATTTTTCTACACTGGATTACTCCCATCATTCAAGAGTATGGTGGATGCATCATCTGACGGGTCTATCTCTACAAGAACAATTGACGGAGCCTGGGAGCTATTTGAAAGGATGGCTACAACTTCAGCTATGTGGTCTACAGATCGAGTAGTTCAGAAGAGAGCACCTGGGGTGTATGAAGTAGATACTTACTCAGCGCTGTCGACGAAAATAGATTCCTTAATCCATAAGGTTGAAAGCATTTCACAAACCGCCACTGCTAAGCAAGTTATGAAGCAGAGTTGTAAAGAATGTGGAGCAGATCACAGTACTGCTACTTGCCCAATTCTAGCACAAGGAGTAGAACATGCAGAATTCGCACAATGGGGTCAGCGCCAGCAGAATAACCCACATTCAGAAACCTTCAATCAAGGCTGGAGAAAACACCCAAATTTCTCTTGGAGCAACCAGAATCAAAATAGACCACAAGGGTAATATAGCAGCTAGACAAAAAGTCACATTTGGAGGATATGTTCGAGAAATTTATGGCACACACCAATCAGTACATGGAAGCCAATAACCAATTTATGCGAAGGACGAAAACAACGCTTCAAGATCAAACTGCAGCGATCAAGAACTTGGAGACACAAGTGGGACAGATAGCAATTTCCATGACGGGTAGAGCACCGGGAAACCTACCCAGCAATACTGAAATTAACCCTAAGGAGCATGCAAAGGCTATAACAACCAGAAGTGGAGTACAATTGCCGGAACCACATGTAAAAAGTTCGGGAGCCAACAAGGAATCAACACCAACCTTGGAGGAAGAAATTGTGGAGCAAACTGATAATGCAATAGGAGATGAGGTTAAGAGGAATTCCGAGACATCACAGGGTAAAAATACTAATCCTGTTAACCCTCATGAGCCTCCTATTCCGTTTCCACAAAGGTTGAGAAAGCATAAAATGGAGCAGCAATACAGTAAGTTCCTTGAAGTCTTCAAGAAATTGCATATCAACATCCCATTTGCTGAAGCACTTGTCCAGATGCCGAGCTATGCAAAATTCCTGAAGGATATCCTCTCCAACAAGCGAAAGATAGAAGAACACGAAACAGTAATGTTGACTGAGGAATGCAGTGCCAGAATCCAGAGAAAGCTACCCCCAAAACTGAAAGATCTAGGGAGTTTTACTGTACCCTACACTATTGGAGACTGTTATTTTGATAAAGCTTTGTGTGATTTGGGTGCAAGTATTAATCTAATGCCTCTTTCTGTTTTCAGGAAACTCGGCTTGGGAGAAGCAAAAGCCACAATAGTGACATTGCAGTTAGCAGATCGATCCCTTACACATCCAAGAGGAATCATTGAAGACGTGCTGGTAAAAGTGGAGAAGTTCATATTTCCAGCTGATTTTCTTATCTTGGACATGGAAGAAGATAAGGATGTTCCACTCATTTTGGGGCAACCTTTCTTAGCCACTGGGAGAGCGATTGTAGATGTTCAGAAGGGGCAGCTGATATTGAGGCTTGGTGATGAGCAAATCTCATTCAACGTGTTCAAAGCAATGAAATTCCCTACTGAGGCAGACAGTTGTTTCCAGATCGATGTAGTCGATCGAATAGTTCAAGACACATTTCGGCTACATCATCCTTCCGATGCATACGAGGCATGCATTGCACATTCACAATCCACCCATTCTGGTTCAAGTGAGATTGAGACATGTGCTCGATTTTTGGAAAGTAACTAGCCATATATGCGCAGACGCTACTATGAAGAGCTGGGAACTAGGACTGCAAAATCAGTGCCATCTATTGTGAAACCACCCAAATTGGAACTCAAACAACTGCCACCACATCTTCGATATGCGTACCTGGGGGAATCTTCTACACTACCTGTTATTATTTCAAGCACTGTCAGTGAGGTAGAGGAAGAGAAACTACTTCGGGTGTTAAGGGAGAATAAAACAGCTATTGGATGGTCGATTGCAGATATAAAGGGGATCAGCCCATCTTTATGCATGCATAAGATACTCATGGAGGAAAAATTCAAACCAAGCATTGATGGGCAGCGGAGATTGAACACACACATGAAGGAAGTGGTTAGAGCTGAGGTATTGAAGTTGGTCGATGCAGGCATTATTTATCCAATATCAGATAGTGCATGGATCAGTGCGGTGCAAGTTGTTCCCAAGAAAGGAGGAATCACAGTGATAGAAAATGAGAAAAATGAGTTGATTCCTACACGGACAGTGACTGGATGGAGAGTTTGCATTGACTACCGTAAGCTTAACACAGCTACTCGAAAGGATCACTTTCCATTACTGTTCATTGATCAGATGTTGGAGAGATTAGCAGGGCATTCGTACTACTATTTCCTAGATGGGTACTCCGGGTATAATCAGATTCCAGTGGCACCAGACGATCAGGAGAAGACCACTTTCACTTGTCCCTATGGCACCTTTGCATACAGAAGGATGCCATTTGGATTATGCAACGCTCCCGCTACCTTTCAGCGCTGCATGATGGCTATTTTCTCAGACATGATTGAGAAATTCATCGAGGTATTCATGGATTACTTCTCTGTGTTTGGATATTCATTTGATGAGTGCTTGGAGCATCTAAGTCTTGTGCTACAACAGTGTACGGAGACCAACTTGGTGTTAAATAGGGAGAAATGTCACTTTATGGCACAAGAAGGCATCGTACTAGGGCACAAAATTTCAGCAAAGGGTATTGAAGTGGACAGGGCAAAGATTCAGATGATCGAGAATTTACCACCACCTACCTCAGTGAAGGGTGTTCGTAGTTTTCTTGGGCACGCTGGATTCTACAGAAGGTTTATCAAGAATTTTTCAAAAATTACCAAACCTCTGTGCTGTTTACTGATGAAGGAATCCACATTTGAGTTTACTGATGAGTATCTGCAGGCCTTTAACACTTTGAAAGAAAAGTTGACTTCAACACCTGTAATTATCACACCGGATTGGAATCTGTCATTTGAATTAATGTGTGACGCCAGTGATTATGCTGTGGGAGTCGTGTTGGGTCAACGAAGGAATAAGGTATTTCACGTGATCTACTATGCAAGTAAGACTTTGAACGATGCTCAGTTAAATTATGCCACTACGGAGAAAGAGCTTCTTGCTATAGTCTATGCATTTGACAAATTTCGATCATACCTTGTGGGGTCGAAGGTCATAGTCTACACAGATCATGCCGCTATCAGGTACTTAATGGAAAAGAAGGATGCTAAGCCACGTCTCATTCGTTGGATATTACTACTTCAAGAGTTTGACTTGGAAATTAAGGATAAGAAAGGCAGTGAAAACATGGTGGCGGACCACCTATCTCGGCTTGAGGACACAGAACGGACAGAGATAGTGGAAATAAATGAAATCTTCCCAGACGAACAGATTTTTGGTGTGATGGAAACACCCTGGTATGTAGATATAGTTAACTATTTAGCCAGGTCTATCATACCGCCAGATTATTCCAGTCACCAGAAGAAGAAATTCTTCGCTGAATTGAAGTATTATTTTTAGGAAGATCCCATTCTCTACAGGCGGGGGGCTGATCAAATTGTTCGTCCCTGTGTACCAAAGGAAGAGGTGCCTTCGATATTAGAAAATTGTCACTCATCTATATATGCAGGGCATTTTGGTGCTTCGAAAACAGCTGCGAAGATTCTTCAATCAGGTTTTTACTAGCCTACACTCTTTAAAGATGCTTTTGAATTTGTGAAAAGGTGTGACCGATGTCAGTGCACGGGTAACATATCTAGAAAAAATGAGATGCCTTTGAATAGTATCTTAGAGGTGGAATTATTCGACGTCTGGGGGATCGACTTCATGGGACCATTTCCAACATCTTTTTCAAATCAATACATATTAGTGGCTGTGGATTATGTATCGAAGTGGGTCGAGGCTGTTGCACTACCTACTAATGATGGGAAAGTGGTGATTGAGTTTTTAAAGAAGAACATTTTTACCCGATTTGGAACACCAAGAGCCATAATCATTGATGGGGGCACACATTTCTGCAATCGTCAGTTCGAGCAGTTGTTAGCGAAATATGGCGTTAAGCACCGTATAGCTACCACATACCATCCCCAAACTAGCGGACAGGTCGAAGTATCAAATAAGCAATTGAAGCGAATACTCGAAGTCACAGTCAACTCATCACGAAAGGATTGGTCAAAGAAACTGGATGATGCCTTGTGGGCCTATAGGACTGCATTCAAGACCCCTATAGGAATGTCACCATATCGACTGGTTTTTGGGAAAGCATGTCACCTACCTCTTGAGATCGAACATCATGCCTACTGGGCAATGAAGAAGTTGAACTTGGATTTGAAGGCTGCGGGTGAAAAATGGCTGTTACAACTGAATGAACTGGATGAGCTCAAAATGGAAGCCTACGAGAACTCAAAGATCTACAAAGAGCGCACCAAGAAATGGCATGACATGCATATCCAGAGACGTGACTTTAAGGTGGGGCAAAAAGTGCTACTCTACAACTCCAGGCTTAAACTGTTTTCAGGAAAATTGAGATCGAGATGGTCTGGTCCATATACCATTACACAGGTGTTTCCACATGGGGCAATTGAGATCACTCACGACAGCAAGGGGACATTCAAAGTTAATAGACAGTGTTTGAAACACTATTGGGGCGGTGATTTCTCAAAGGACAAGTCTACCGTCCATCTTGAATCGCCAGAATGACACAATATGGTAAAGTCAAGCTATCGACTATAACCTAGCGCTGAGTGGGAGGCAACCCACTGTATCCTTAAATTTATTTTATTGCATTGCATTAGTTTAGGAATTTGTTTGAGTTTAGTTTGTTTCTTAGGTCATCGATCATATTTTGCATGATAGTCTAGGCACTACACGTTTAATGTTGCATGAATGGGTGCTAAATGAAGTGTTTGGGTGTTAGAGTGTGTGTCACGCATTCCGATGTGCGAAGATGTTCGTTTTGGTTAAGCTTTCAGAATGCGGGACAACATTTATGAAAAATTAGTTTTGGTGCCAAGTTTCGATAAGCATATTCCTCTTTTCAAGTCAAAATTTTCAATTTTTCCAGGAATATAGCGAGGCGAGTCAAATTTTTAAGTGAAAAACCAATTTTGGGGGAGTTTAAATTTTAAGTCATTTAAAAAAAATAAAATTGAAACCCAGTTTGGTCTATGCGACCGCATAGACCTTAACCGAAAGAGAAAAGGGGGCTTTCGTTTGCACTATGCGACCGCATAGTGCAACATTATGCGGTCGCATAGTGTAGTGGTCACGGGTTTTAACCCGTGACCACCCGTGACCACACAATTAATCCCCAAAATTTCCCCCCTCTCACTCACACTCGAGACCACTTCACCCATTCACTTGCACACACTTCACACTTGCACACTACTCATTTCATCCTCTACACTAACACCCATTTTACACACTCTTCATTCTATTGGATTGGATTGTACATTGAGGTGCTACATCTAAATTAACAAGTATTTGGCCAAGCAAGGTATGTTCCTCTAATCCCATAATTTCGAGCTTCTTTTTCACATTTTTCATTCAATGTGTTGGAATTAGTTAGAAGGTATACGGTAAATTGATATGAGGTTGAGAATTGGGGAAAATTTCATGGTAGTGTTTTAGAAGAAATAGGAAGAAATTCACATTGCACACCACATGTTCGACGAAATGCCACATTGATGCATGTTTTGAATTCTTGAACTTTTCGCTTATGCAATAGTTTACATCGTTATTGTGTAGCTTATTGGCCGAATAATCACGTGCAATTTCATTTGAAAAACACTACCTCAATATTTGAATTCACAAAGGCACTTCATGGCTACTCATATTCACTCACGTCACTACTTTCGTCCCTATGTTATCTTATGCAAACGACCTCCGATTAAGGTGAAATTTGGATATATGCTAGATGTCATTGAGTACTTTCACATGTCCAAAACTTGCCTGGGAAAATTTTGATATTTCTTGGTGATGCTCGGGGCCGAAGTTGGTCACTTGGTCATGGGTCAAATTTTCTAAAAATGCATGCTCGAGCCATAATTTTGAGTTTTCCATATTTATGCAATGTTATAGTTATATTGGTGATTCATGTTTTGAAATACTGCATAAGCATACGTACATGTGCATGTTGAAGAAAGTTTGGGGGATTATGAATTCAAAGATTATTAATGACGGTTATTCCTATACCAAGTGATTGATATTGTGTACTTCCTTTTTCAGGATGCCTCCTAAAAGAACTTCAAAGGGAAAAGAGAAAGTCGGCTCCTCATCTGGAACGGCCCGAACAAGAGAACCCGAAGGGGGTGTTCGAAGATTCCTTTCATCAGATACAGCTGCCCGTTATGCCAATGTTGTGCGTAATTGGGCAATCATTCCCGAGAGGCCAGTTAAGCTAGAAGATTTTTCCAACTTTGAAATATCATATCTGATTCACAACTGTGGCTGGGAAAAGGTGATAGAAAGACCTCATCCGGTATATGAGAATCTAGCAAAGGAGTTTTATGCAAATTTCAACACAGAAATCGACACTCCCGGATCGGAGCACTTACATCAGACATAGGTTAGGGGCAAATGGATTATGTTTTCACCAGAGGTAATTCATGATTACTATCAGTTATCCTGGAATAATATGGTCCCTATCTAAGAAGACTTCAACTGGAATGAGGTTGCAAAAATATTGTTGGGACGTGAAAACGCTTGGCCTCTACCAACAGCAGACTGGCACCAGATAGATCTCACCCCATCCATAGCAATTTTATGGTTATTCATATGCCATAACATCGAGCCTATATCCCACAACAACATTTACAAATCCAAGGGCCAGATTCATATACCATTTGGTTAGAGGAAACAAGATTGATCTAGCCACGTACATCTACAACCAAATTCATGGTATAAGCACTTGGGGTGATAGGCACTAATCACTAATTTTTCCCAGTCTGATAAGTGGAATATGTAGAGCAGCAGGCATACAAATTCAACCTGGGGAAGCACAAGAAAAGCCAAGCCCCTTTATCAAGCAATCCACACTAGAGGCCCAAGATCGAGCGAGACTGAAGCACAACAGAAATTAGAAAATGCACGATGATGACAGCAATTGAATAAGGAAGGTCAAGCAGATGCAGACCTTGACATGCCTCAAATTCCTCCACCACCATCCCAGGTTGATATGGACAATCAGGTATTGAGGCAGATATTCGCCACCACCACTAGAACTAGCCGGGACATACAACATCTCCAGTAGAGTTTCGAGACCATGACTACCACTGTTGACAAAGTGCAGAGAGACCTCTACTCTTCTCGGGACTACACAAGGGGTGCTTTGAATGAAACCACAGCTGCACGAAGGGAAGTGGAGACCATGAATGGTAGGTTCAACATGTATGCTGGGAGAATGGATGGCATACAGTGGCGAGTGAACGAAACCTGGGATCGATTGGGAAATATGGAGAATAGGCTTCAATCCATTCAGGCTGAGCAAGCGCAGCAGACAGAGTTGATGAGACAAATCCTATCTCGCCTTCCATCTCCTCCTGAAGATCATGTTGCGGGTCCTAGCTACACACCACGACCACCACTTTGATCAGGGGAGTGTTGTTTACCTCTATTTGCCAAGTTGTGTATATATTTTTTAAATTATACTTTTCTAACTTTACATTTACATTGAGGACAATGTACTGTATAAGTTTGGGGAATGGTAGCTTAATTTTCAAACAAATATTCGGCATGTAGTTAATATGCATTTTCACAATCAATCATTAAATTGACTACATTCTGCATGATGCATGCGTGATGAATGAGTGTTGATTTTACTTTTACATGCTTGTGTGGGTTTGGTAGCCTTGCAGGCTATGATGTGATTATTGGACAGGTGTAAACTAGAACTGTAGATATAGTACAGGATTTAATTAGCTAATACTTATTGATGCAATCTTGACATTCTTTTGCACGCCACTCATGCTTTCATGTTGAGTTATTGATTGGGATTTTGATGAAAAATATGAGAAACCTAGTTTAACCCTCTATAACATTAACCCGTTAAACCACCTTAAGATAGTTTGGAGATGGTTGAGCCACTATAGGAAAACATGGAGATAAGTAGAGGCTCAGTACATGAAATTATATTGTGTGGATTGCCTAGACCCAGAAGGTGAGAAATAGGTGAAAGCTTTAAGTTGAGGACGGTTGTTGAGATCAAATGTCTAAAAAAACAAGTAAAGGGCATAAAATAAACATGGGAAAATCATCCCTTCTCTCAAAAGCCTTTATGACTCGAGCAAGTAAGTCTGTTAGGGTTTAAAACCTGATATCCTAAAGCCAACTGGTTTGGGAATTATTGACCTAAAGCTCATTACAGGGGCCATATAGAAAGCAAGAAAAAGGAGAAGTTGATAAAAATTCATCTTATCGAGCTTTTATAACTCGGGTGAATAAGGCTGCAAGGGTTTAAAACCTGGTGCCCTAAGACCAACTGGTTTGGGAGTCATCGCCTAAAACCCGTTACATGGGTTATATAGAAAGCAAATGAGAAGATGAGAAAAAAAGGGGCCCTTGTTGGACATTTGGTTGATATAACTTTAACCTTGATGCGAGGTAAGTAGCTTAGTTTGAGCCTAAAGGTTGAAACAATCAAATTAAAGAGAGTCTCTACTTTTTGATATGTGTACTTGTAAGGGTAAAATCTATCCAAACCAAGAGAGGGTAAGGATTATAGTTGCTAAACTCCCAATCCTAGAACACACCCCGAAATAATAGAGTGAAAAGAATAAGTTTGGGGGGGTTGTGTATCTCTCGAGTGATGCAAGGATAAATTGACCACTATGGGTCGAGAATAAAGCATTCGTAAGCTTGATATGTTGGCATGAGTTCACACACACACGTTGAGTATTGCAATTGATGAGTAAAGGTTAATTTTATTCTCGCACTATTGATATCGTTTTATTGTTAATGCTAAGTTCCAATCCTGAGACACGGCAAGCTATTAAGCCATGTTTGTTTAGCATTGAGTCACTGCATTGTTTGAGGATAAACAATAGTTTAAGTTTGGGGGATTTGATAAGTATGTTTTTACACACTTATTTGGTTCACAAACATGACTTAAACATGGATAAAATGGTTGAATTATGGCTTAATCCTATTAAATTCATGCAATGTAGGTATTTCAATGGAAATCGTGGAATTCAGAAGAAAAGAGCCGAAGAAGGACCAAAACGCAACAAAATGATAGTTCGAGGACCAAAGGTGCAAATATTGAGAAGTTGAGCTAAATGCAAAATGAGAGTAAAAAAATGCCAAGTATGAGCTCAATGACAAAGCAAAACAATTGGAAGAAGAAAGTATTGAAGAGGGACTGAAATGAAGATAATTGAAAGTTGGAGGACTAAAGCGCAAATACTCAAAAGATGTGCCGAATGAGTGGCATGAGATTTGATGGTGTCAATCATCAATTGAAAGATAAAATTTGTTGAAAAGATGAAGAAATTGAAGAAAGAAGTCAAGAGAAGCAACAAGGAATTTCAGGGACCAAAATGTAAAAATCACATAGTTGGTTATATCTATGCAACCACATAGTGTAACCATCTATGCGGTCGCATAGATGGATGCAAGGAAAATAATGGGGCATTTCAAATGACCTATGCGACCGCATAGGATCCTTCGCATAGAAGTAAATGTCGGGGCGTTTCTGCAGTTTCCTTTTTCGACTCCAACTCTTTTTTTACCTAATTTGGGCACACTATATATACCCTAAAACACGTCCAAAACTACGGTACACGGTTTTGGGAGCAAAGAGGCACACAATAACATCAAGATCCAAGAATTTATGCAAGAAGAAGGAGGATTTCATCAAGATTGAAGATTTCAAGCATCATTTATAATAAGGTGATGTCTTCTCCTTTATTCAATTTTTGTAATTTTCTTCAAAACATGATAGGCTAATTTTTTTATTTCATTGGGAGTCGATGAACCTTTGATTTTCTTATAAATTCTTATATTTCATGAGTTTTATATAAATTGTCTTTGGAATAAATTGTTTGATTTATATTGTTTTGATTGAATCCATGATTTATTGGCCATTTATTATGTGATTGTGATGGTTTATTCTTTACATTCGAAAGAAGTAGAATAGACTTGATATATATAAATTGACATAGGGTCCGATAGGGGATAGAAATATACCCCTATGCTTTATGCAATTCGGTAATTGTTCATAGAATTTCATGCGTTTTTGTATGTTACATCATCCATTCAAATATAGGCTGATGATATGCAGAAATAGATCTAATATATATCGAGAGAGTATATTAGATAGGCGTAGGAACATTGAATTGACAATTTTCCATTGATTAATTGGATTTGTGAAATTAGGGTTTATAGAAATCAAATGGGGATTTGATATCCCAATGATTTTATTTCAACTTATTTCTACAATTTCATTTACAACATTGCATATTTACATTTTAATTGAGTTGTTGAGTCATTTAATTAGGGGAATTTCGAAATTAGGGTTTCCAATTTCGAAATTAGGGTTTTCTTTAAAATTAGGGCTTTTCACATTTAAACCAAATTTTCATTCAATTAGATTTGGTTAAGGTCACATTAGTCTAATTAGAGCTAATCAATCCTCGTGGGAACGATACTTGGACTCATAGTCCATTTTACTACTTGTTAACGAACCGTACACTTGCGGTGGGTTTTAAAATCGAAACAAATAAATACGTGAACAATATTCCTCTTGGACAGTTTAAATTTCAAACAATTTTTCCATCCAATTAACACTTGACAACAATGCAAGTGTCAAACAACATATCAAAAACCAGTGTACAAATAGCAAAGTTTAATCGGTAAGAACCTTGAGACATGTACACTATGGTGTACACTTTTGTTTACACTTTGTCACTCGACATTGCCCTGTTGGACCGTTTGAATTAAACACTATTTTCCCATCGAATTGACACTTGACAACAATGCAAGTGTCAAACAACGTATCAAAAATCAGTGTAAAAAAAGTAAAGTTCTATCGGCAAGGACCAAGCTAGATGTACACTATGGTGTACACTTTAGTTTACACTTCGCCACGTGACATTACCCTGTTGGACAGTTTTAATTTCAAACAATTTTTCCATCCAATTGACACTTGACAACAATGCAAGTGTCAAACAATGTGTCAAAAATCATTGTACAAATAGCAAAGTTCAATCGATAAGACCCTCGCTACATGTACACTATGGTGTACACTTCAGTTTATACTTTACCACGTGACATTACCCCATTGGACAATTTAAATTTCAAACTTTTTTTCCATCCCATTGACACATGACAACAATGTAAGTGTTGAACAACGTGTCAAAAATCAGTGTACAAATAGCAAAGTTCAATCGATAAGAACCTTGCTTCAAGTACACAATGGTGTACACTGTGATTTATACTTTGCCACGTGACACTACCCTTTGGGACAGTTTAAATTTCAAATAATTTTCCCATCCAATTGTCACTTGAAAACAATGCAAGTTTCAAACAACGTGTCAAAAATCAATGTACAAAGAGCATAGTTCAAACGGT